CTCTGTGAGTCCCAGGCCAGCCTGATCTACATAATGAGTTCCAGGCCAGCTGGGGCTACAGGGAGACCTTGTCTCAAAAAGACCTAAAAAGAAAAAAAGAATAGGATGTAGGAGTTGGCTAGGCAGTTAGAGTAAAAAAGACCCCAAAGAAAAGTGGCCAGTTTCTTGGCTAAAAGTCAAAATGTCCTTGGGCCTCTTAGCAACATACTCTGTTCCAAAGGCCAAAAATGTCAAAAGTATTTGGCAGCTCTTATCTAATCCCTAAAAGATTTTAGGGTTACCTCTTCAGAGGGGGGCATGTTAGAGTAGCAGAAAGCCCCATTTAAAAAAAGAAAGAAAGAGCATATGAAGTTGTCAGAAAAAAGTGATGGGGCGATATGGGATGTGTTGGAGGGGAGGGAGTGGGCATGGATTTGATCAAAACACCTTTATGCATGCATGAAATTCTCAATAAAGTTTTTTTAAAAGTTAAGAAAAGCAAAACACAAGCTTAATCTAATAAATATGCACAGAGAATATTATACCCAGCACACATAAAATATGCATTCTTTTCAAGCTTAGGTGGACTGTTTATTCATCCCCACATGTGACTAGGCTCAAAAAATTTCAAGGGGTCAGAATCCTGACAAGCATACCTAGAACACAAATCTGTTAGACATCAACAAACTAGAAAAACACTTGTGTTTAGGACCATGAGATGGCTCATCAGGTAAAGGTGCCCGTTACCACTAAAGATCTGAGTTCAATCTTCGGGACCCAAATAATGGCAGGAGAGAACTAACTCCTTCCTACAAGTTGTCCTCTGACTTCCACACATATGCACCATGGCATACATGCACCCCTTCAACCTCTTCCCACAATAAATAAATGAATATTATTCTTCTTTTAAAAAAAGAAAAAACACATTTAACTACTCAAAAACACTTCTGAGTGGGCATGCTGGCCCACACCAGTAGTTCTAGCTACTCAGAAAGATCACGTGAATTCAAGAGTTTGTGACCAGCATGGGCAACACAGTGAGACATTATCACAAATGAAAATTCTCTCTCTCTCCCCCTGCAAAGAGAAATCAAAATAGGCATGCTTCAGAGCAGACAAAAATAAGTATATTACATAAGTGTATGAGACCCTTTATAGTATTTGAGGCAAATTCATAACTTTAAATATATATTAGATAAGAAAAACTGGATTTAAAAAAACCAAGCTGTTGGGAGAAGAGGCAGGTGGATCTCTGTGAGTTTGAGGCCAGCCCAGTCTATGTAGAGTTCCAGGCCAGCTGGGGCTACAGGGAGACTCTGTCTCAAAAAGACCCCCCCAACAAAAAAATTAAAAAAAATCAAGCTCAAGGCTGGGGGTATAGCTCAGTGGTACAGCACTTGCCTGGTAAGCATAAGGCCCTGGGTTTAATTCCTAGTACTGTCAAAAAATGTTTTTAAAAAACCTAAGCTTTGGGGGATGGAGAGATGGTTCAGTGCTTAAGAGCACATACTGCTCTTACAGAGGACCTGAGTTTGGTTCCCAGCACCCCTGTTGGGCAGCTTACAACCACCTGTAGCTCCAGAGGACCTGACGCCCCCTTCTGGCCTCTGCAGGCATTGTACTCATGGGCACATACACACATATAGTCACATACATATAATTAAAAAACAATAAAAATAAATCTTTAAAAAATTTTTATCATTTTTATTTTATTTTATGTATATGAGTGTATTGCCTGCATGTGTGTAAGTGCACCCTGTCATACAATGCCCGCAGAGGTCAGAAGAGGGTGTTGGATCCCCTAGAACTGGAGTTAAGGATGGTTGTTAGCCACCATGTGGATGCTGGGACTCAAACCCAGGTGCTGCACTGGGATCGAACCCAGGTGCTTTTTTTAAAATAAATATTTTATTTATTATTTTATGTGTATGTGTGTATTGCCTGCATGTAGGTAAGTGCACCCATGTTGTACAATGCCCATGGAGGACAGAAGAGGCTGTCAGATCCCCTGGAACTGGAGTTATGGACAATTGTTAGCTGCCATGTGGGTGCTGGGATTCGAACCCGGGTCTTCTGCAAGAACAACCAGTGTTCTTAATCTCTGAGCCATTTCTCCAGGCCCCCTGCCCCAGGTGCCTTTTTTTTTTTGGTCTTTTTGAGACAGGGTCTCCCTGTAGCCCCAGCTGGCCTGGAACTCACTATGTAGACCAGGCTGGCCTTGAAATCATAGAGATCTGCCTGCCTCTGCCTCCTAAGTGTTGGGACTACAGGTGTGTGCCACCATGCCCGCTCCCAGGTGCTTTTTAAAAGCTGCCAGTGCTCTTAACCACTGAGCCATCTCTCCAGTCCCTAAAAATCAATCTTAAAAAGACTAAACTTTAGGGTTCAGTTCTGAGCACTCGAGTGGTAGCTGACAACCATCCTTAACTCCAGTTCCAGGGGATTCAATGCCCTCTTCTGGCCTCCATAGGCATTGCAAGCACAGGTGCATGTACATAAATGCAGGCAAAACACATACATGTAAACAAAAATAAATTAAAATTTAGCTAAGCTTTATATAAAGGAAGGAAATAAGAGAAAGCTTTGAAATAGAGATCAAACAAACAAGATAGAACTTGGGAGAATTACCCCATTACTAGAGGGACTCAATCCATAATAAATGAGCAGCAATCTACCAATACATTTGGAAAATTTATTACACTTATTTTGTGCATGTGTGTGGGTGTGTGCTATGATGTGCAAGTAGAAGCCAGGAGACAACTTGCAGGAGTTAGGTCTCTCTCTCCTTCCACCATGTGGATCCCAGGGATCAAACTCAGATCATCAGGTTTGGTGGCAAGTGTCTTTACCTACTGAACCATGTCACTGGCCCACAACTGAAAATCTAGATAAAGCCTGACACGGACTGTCACACACTATAATTTCAGCTCTCAGAGGCTGAAGTAGGACTGTCACAAGTTTGAAGTTATCCTAGTCTATGCAGTAAGTTTCAGGGCAGCCTGGGCTACAGAGCAAGACTCTGTCTGAAAAAATGAAAAACAGACTAAAGAGATGGTTCAGCAGTTAAGAGAGCCTGCTGCACAGTCATGAGGTCTGGAGTTAGGATTCCAGATCCCACATAAAGAGTCTGGCATCCCACACATGCTTGTAACCCCAGCTCTGAGGGAGATGGAGACAAGTGAATCGCTGGGGCTTGCTGGCTTCCAGCACAGTCAAGAAAACAGGAGCTCCAGGTTCAGGGAGAGACCCTGCCTCAAAGGAGCAGGTGACAATGGTGACAGAGGGCCCCCAAGGGCCTCCTTTGGCCTTGGCACTTTTACACATGTATATAAACACACAGATACACAATTAAATATCCTTTTGAAAAAAAAAAGAGTGCTGAAGAGATGGCTCAAAGGTTAAGATGGACTACTCTTGCAGAAGACCTAGGTTCTGTTTCCAGCACCCACAAGGCAGCTAAATACTATCCCTAACTTCAGTTCCAGGAGATCTGATGTCTTCTTCTGACCTCTGCAAGTACTGCATGCGTTCCTTACATACATGCAGACAAAACACTCATGTACGTAACATAAAAATAGATAAAGATTGGGGCTGAAGAGATGGTTCAGTGGTTAAGAGCACTTGGTGCTCTTCCAGGAGATTTGAGTTTGGCTCCTAGTGCTGCTGTCAGGCAGCTCACAACCAGCTGCAACTACAACTCCAGGGACCCTGATGCCCTCTTCTGGCCTCCATGGGTACTGCATACATGTATACACACACACACACACACATTTTTAAAGAAAATAAAACCTAAAAAAAATTAAAAAGGAGAAGAACATTTAAATGAAAAAAATCTTCCTTTCTTTTCTCCTTTTCATTGCTTTGAGACAGGATCCCATGATGTAGCCCTCGCTGGCCTGGAACTCACAAAGATCCTCCTGTCTCTACCTCCCAAGTGCTGCCACCACACTAAGCTCTTTCTTTTATTTAAGATAGGGTCTTCTGTAGCCCAGGTTGGCCTGGAACTATGTAGCTCAAGGTGACCTTGAACTCCTGATCCTTTTGTCTCCACCTCCTGAGTGCTGGGATCACAGGCATGCACCACACTTCATTTATAGCATATGTTTCTATGTGTTTAAAATATTTTACAGGGCTGGAGAGATGGCTCAGCACTTAAGATTAGCGCTGGCTACTATTGTAGTTCCCAGAACCTACATGGTGGCTAACAACTGTCTGTAACTCTAGTTCCAGGGGATCTGAAGTCCGTATCTGTCCTCTGTGGGCACTGCACAACACAGGTGCACTTATATACATGTAGGCATAACACTTATACACATTTAAAAAAATATATTTCATAACACGAAACAACCCATGCTTAAAATTGACACTACATCATACTTAACAAAAAATTCATACCATTTATAGGCAGAAAATCTTTGTTTTTTTAAACTTCAAAACTCAGGTGACTGAGCAGAAAAACTGTGGGTTTTTTTTTTTAAATTCACCGCAAAGACAGGAAACCCCACCTGGGAGCTTAGTTTCTTCAAAAGGTTGACTGCTGGCGGGACTAGCTCGGAGCAGGCCAGAGGGAACAGTAATCATTTGCCCCAAATAGAAGACGAAGCAGCAAAGCATCACTCGAGGCTGCACAGTTCACATCTGCCCTGCGCTCCGGGTCTCCAGGTTCCCCCTACACACTTCGGCTACTGTACGAACATATTTTCTTCCCTCTTCTACAAACAACAGGAATGACACTCTTACTAGATATACATACCTGTGTGAGAGACTGTCCTAGATGGCTTACACATGCTCCCTTCAATCCTTACAGCACAAGCAGGCACTCTAACCCCAGTATTCAGATGGACAGCTCATAGCATAGAGGCACATTCTTCGCTGGGTGGGGCTGCACCCCAGACCCACACCTCTTTTATCCACTCCTTCAACATGAAGACTCCAGGCAGGAAATTGTCTGCCAAACTACAATGAGTTTGAGGCAGACTCCACTCAAGACCAGTCCACCACTAGGTGTCTGAAGCACCCACCTTCTGGATGACCTTTCGAAGAACAAAATACTTCTCAGTGAGGTCCCCTGCCTCACTCAATGGGGCATCATAGTCGTAGCTGGTGGGCTGTGCTGCATAGGGCATGTTGGCTCCTAGAAGACAAAAAAAAATGTGGCACTGGTCACCACCAAAGGCATTGTTCTGGGACAAGTTCAGAGGGACCCATGGGCTCAGGGTTAGCGAGAGGAGAAAAAAGGATACATTAAAGCCAAGTATCCAGGCTGGGATGTAGCTCGGTTGGTAGAGTGCTTGCCTAGCATGCCCAAAGCCGTGGGTTCAATCCCCAGCACTGCCTAAACTAGCCATGGTATAATTCCAGCACTTAGGAAGTGGGGGCAGAAAGATCAGAAGTTCAGGTCATCCCCAGCTACATGGTGAGTTTGAAGCCAGTCTGGGCTACATGAGACCCTTTCTCAAAATAAATAACTATTAATAATTACAATACTATAGTTATACTATAAATATTAATAATATAATAATAAAGGACATATTAAAGCCAACTATTAGGAGACACAGATTTGATCTTCAGGATGAAAATTCAGGGATACATTTCTTTTTTGTAATTTTATTATTTTTTTCCTTTTTTTTTTGGTCTTTTTGAGACAGGGTCTCCCCATAGCCCCAGCTGTCCTGGAACTCACTATGTAGACCAGGCTGGCCTTGAACTCACAGAGATCCACCTGCCTCTGCCTCCTGAGTGCTGGGATTAAAGGCGTGCGCCACCACGCCTGGCTTATTATTTTCATTTTATGCATATGAGTGTTTTGCCTGTATGAATGTAAGTAACTATACACACGTAGTGTCCAGAAGAGGATGTGGGATCCCCTGGAACTGGAGTTATGGACAGCTGTTAGTCACCATGTGGGTGCTGGAAACTGACCCTGGGTCCTCTGCAAGAGCAGTGTTCTTAACCACTGAGCCATCTCTTCAGCCCCACATTTCTTCTTAGAGGTAACACTTGCTATGTACCTTAAAGTTCACAGAGCACCTTCTCCATCCCATGTTTCTCCCTCTCCACTCCTCTGTGTCTAGAAACCCCCTGTTGTGACTCTGATAGCTAGCAACCCCTTGCTATAAGCAAGGATCTGAGGCCTCCACAAAACTCTAGAAACACACCACAAGCAGTCACAGCATGGCAGGGCTTATAACCTGAGCCATATCTATCATCCCTGATCTTGTTTAGGTCTGGTGGTGACACAGGTGTCTGAGTTGAGGGTCAACAGAAAACTGTGAGCTTATCATTCAAAACAATGTGGGAGATGTGGTAGCCATGGAGACTCAACAGGGCCTCAAGGCCTTTGAATCTATAGCATACAGAGGGAGTAGGGCATGCCTTTTTGATGACCTTTGACAAAGGGGGGCACTGGCCTCTGCTGAGCTACTTTACCTGGGGTTATAAGCCTCCAATAACTGGTATCTTCACCAACAGGTCAGCTGAAGGACATAAAAACCATCGTTCCTTGCCCTAAGGGCCATCTCTGTCCAGAGAGCCTCCAGGACAGGCTGAAGCTGCTCACAGAATCGCATTACCACCCGTGCTTCCCACATTCTCTGACAGATGTTCCTTCTGAGAACACATCAAGGAACATCCATGTTATCCTGAAGCCTGCTTCTGTGGTGGTTGATGCCATCAACTGGACAGGGCTTAGAATCACCTAGGAGACAAACCTCTGGGTATGTTATGAGGGAGTTTCTAGACTGGGTTAACTGAGATGAGAAGACCCGCCCTAATGTGAGTGGTAATTCCCTGGGCTGGGATGCTAGACTGAACAATAAAGAGAAAGCCTGTGGAGCACTGGCATTCATGGCTCTCTGCTTCCTGACTGTGGATACAATGTGACCAGGTGCGCCCAGCTCCTGCTGCCTCACACTGTGAGCCCAAATAAACCCTCCTCTCCTTAAGTTGCTTTTGTGGGTACTTTGCCACAGCAGTGAGGAAAGTAATAGACAGCTCTCCTAGGAACTTATCACAAAGACCAATGAACAACATTAGGTACCAGGTATACAAAATGACCAGAGAAGCAATGTCCTTGAGATTATTGTTCAAGGCATAGAGTCTAGAACAGAAACTCCCGATCTTACCACAAATGATTCTTGCAGGTGGTGGTGGTGCATGCCTTTAATCCCAGCACTTGGTGATAGAGGCAGGAGAATCTATGTGAGTTTAAGTTTAGCCTGGTCTACATAGCAAGTTCCAGGCCATTCAGTGCTACACAGTGAGACCCTGCCTCAAAATAAAATAAATAAAATAAAACCCTTTAAAAAAAATCCATCAACTTCTAAGCTTTGCCCGAGATCCTGATTCAGCAGGTGGGGGGTGGGAGCTAAGACTGACTTCCTTCCTTCCTTCCTTCCTTCCTTCCTTCCTTCCTTCCTTCCTTCCCTTCTTCCTTCCCTTCTTTTCTTTTCTTTTTTTTTTCCTAAGACCAGGTTCAGTCTGGCCTCAAAGTAGCTGTTGCCAAAGATAATCTTAAACTCACGTTCCTTCTGCCTCTTCCTCTTGGGTACTGGGATTACAGGCGTGCATCACCATGCCAGTTTTATGCAGTGCTGGGGATGGAATTCAAGGTCTCGTGCATACTAGGCAAGCACTCTATCTACTGAGTTATATCCCCAACTCCTGAGGCTATATTTCTAACAGGCAATGCTACCACAGTCGTCTGTGGACCAGCTAGGCTTTGTCTTAGACAGCACTCTGCCACGAAAACTTGTGAGAATGAAGTTATTTTTGTCAAAATTTATTATTTTTATTTTATGTGTATTGCCTGCATATAGGTAGGTACACCCATATCATGAAATGCCCATGGAGGACAGAAGAGGGTGTCAGCTCCCCTGGAATTGGAGTTATGGGCGGTGGGTGCTGGGAATCAAAACCAAGTCCTCTGCAAAAACAGCCAGTGCTCTTAACTGCCGAGCCATTTCTTCAGCCCCATGACTGTTCTTGTTTTAGAGTCCAACTGATAAGGAAATGAGGACACAGATCATAAATGATAGTGGAATTGGCAAATGAGTGAGGGGAACCAGGACAGGCCTCACTTTCTCATTCATGCTCTGGAGAATCCCTACTTTGAAAGACCTGGCCCACTCAACCAATTACTTCCCCCACTCCTTACTCATGAAACGGCCCAGGCTGAGGTCTGCCTGCTCCAGGGGAAGCTCAGGTTGAAACATATTCCTTCCTGCGAGATATGAAGAAATTAAAAACCACATCCTTGTCGAAGGAGCTCACCTTGCTTGTGGTTTGGCTTCCTCTTATTTAGGTCTCTGTACTAAGCTTTACACGCTTTACAGACAGACCCTCTAATCCTGAGCCTGAGCCAGGCATGGAGGGGATGCTCAGTATGTGGTCTAGTCAAGAGAGACAAGTATAACTCCCAGAAATAAACTCCATAGTCTGAGTGAAGTGCTAAATGTGTCACTGGTCACGACCGAAGGCCTTGCTCCAGGGCAAGTTCAGAGGGACCCATGAGCTCAGAGTTAGGTAAGGAGAAAAAAGGACACATGAAAGCCAATTATCAGGACTGGGATGTTGCTCAGCTGGTGGAGTGCTTAACTAGCATGCACAAAACCCTGGGTTTGATGCCCAACACTGTATAAACCAGCCATGGTATAAATCTAGCATTTGGGACTTTTTTCTAGTCTGTCTTTTTTTCTGATTCTTTGCATGTGGGTACACGTGCACACACTCATGTACGCGTGCATGCATGTAGGTACACACATGTATGTACAGGTGCCCATGCCTGTGTGCCTATGCCTATGCCTGTGGAGGCCAGAGGACAACCTTGGAGGTGTTTTCTTGGAAGCTGCCCACTTCACTTTGTTTAAAATTAATTACTTAATTTAGTGTGCATGTGTGATGTGTGTGGACCCTGCTATGTACCATGTGTGGAGACTGGTTGTAGGAGTTGTTTTTCTCCTTCCACTGTGTGTGTCCTGAGGATCAAACTCAGGTTGTCAGGCTTGGTGGCAGGTGCCTTTAGTCACTAAACCATCTTGTTGGCCCTTACCTTGTTTTCTGGGACACTGGCCTAGAGCCTGCCTGATTCAGCTAGACTGGCTGGCCAGCAAGCCCCAGGAATCTGCCTGTCTCTGCCCTCCCAGTGCTGGGATTACAAGCACATTCCACCATGCCACGCTTTCCTTGATGTGGGTTCTGGGGATCAAAGTCAGGTCCCTATGGTTGCAAGGCCAATATTTTACCAACGGAGCCATCTCTTTGCTCTGCCAGCACAGTCTTCCTCTAGCTGTCTTCAGACCAGCCTAGGGCAACAACATGAAGCAGCACTATGTGCTTAATGGATGTGACAGGGTGTGAGGCAGGAAGACAACAGGAACATGAGGATTAGCACTCCACAGCTCCCCACAGCGTGTAGGAAGAGTGGAACGATCTGGGTTCTGGAGACAGCCATGCACAGATGTGGACACACACAGGCACGGCAGCTGGGGCTGCACACTGCACAAGGACATGCGGATTCCCTGACACTGGACAGACAGTAAGCCTCTCCCCTGGGAAGAAGGCCTGAAGACAGCTGCTAGGTGGGACCGGCCCTCGCCTTCCTGAGGGGACCCAGAGGCAGCTTCAGAGGAGCCAGTAGAACAAAGCCTAACTGGTTTGGGGCCAGCTCCAGGGCTTCAGGCTGCAAGGGATTATCTGAAGGGCAGTGGCCTTGGCTCACTGGGTTGGAATCCAGGCTCTGCCCTTTGCCAGCAGAACAGGAAGTGTGTGGACTATTTTGGGCACCACATACTCTTATTTGTAAAATAGTGTCAATAATCTCTAGTCTAAACAAGTCTGATAAGAGAACTAAAGAGAAAAGATAGGCAGAAGAGAGATTTCTATTGATTACAGCAGAGCAGGGTCATGGGGAGAGGGCAAGGACAGCTTCTGCTTTTTGCTGTTCTTGTTTGTTTTCTGAGACAGGGTCTCTCTAGGTAGCCCTGGCTGGCCTGGTACTCACTATGTAGGCCAGCTGGCCTCAAACTTGTAGCAATCCTCCCGCACAACATCCCAAGTGCTGAGATTACAGGTATGTACCACCACACCTGACTCAGTTTTCACTTTCTGTTTCCTTGAAACAGGGTCTCCTGTAGCCCAGGCTGACTTCTAATTCACCATGCAGCCAAAAATTATCTGGAACTTCTGATCCTCCTTCCTCTACCTCCCAAGTGTTGGGATTACAGGCGCATGCCACCATACTGAATTCATGCAGTGCTAGTGATTGAACCCAGGTCTTTGGGCATGCTAGGCAAGTGCTCTAGCAACTGACCTCCATCCCCAGCCCTTAGAATATTATCTAGCAATAAAAAAATGAAGTAATAACACATGTTATAACATGAATGAACCTTAAAACATTAGGCTAAATGAAATAAATGGATTAAACCTGCATATTGCTGGCTCCATTTGTATGAAACATCTACAATAAGAGAATCTCCAGGAAGAAGCGGGAGCTTAGTGATTTCCAGGGGCTAAGAGGAGGAGAGGGGAGGGATTGCTGATGGGCACAGAATTTCTTTTGGTGGGGGGAATGTTCTGGAATTAGAGGGGAATGGATTGTATGACTTCAAGAACATATAGAATACTTATTTAAAATCGTCAAGTTTTTGAGAGCTAAAGAGATGACTCAGTGGTTAAGAACATGTACCCATCCTGGGTGGCCTTTAACTCCAGCTCAGGGACCCTGACACCTCTGGCCTCATGTACGTGTGCACATGTGCAAACACACACATACCCACACATACTCATAATTAACAGAAATGCTAAAAAATTATCAGTTTAATGGTGTGTAAATTACACTTCAACAAAACACCTTTAAAAGTGTGAAGGGGTATGATGGCTCTGTGAGGAAAGGCACTTGCGGCCACCCTAGTGACCTGACTTCAATCCCTGGGACCTACATGATGAAAAGAGAGTGCCAACTCCCACAAGCTGCCCTCTGACCACCATAAATGAATGAATGAATGAATGAATGAATGAATAAATAAATAAATAAATAAATAAATGTAATTTTCTAAAAAAAAAAAGGAGACCAGGGGAGGCAGAGACATGGAGACAGGTAGACCCTGGGGCTCACTGGCCAGCCTGGCCTACCTGAAAAGTTCCAGGTGAGTGAGAAACACTGTCTCAAAAAAAAAAAAAGTGAATGGTATCTATCAAACTGGCACTCACACTCACAGGTACACATATGCACCTGCACACACATCACACATATGAACACACACATACATACAACATGAGCAGAGTATACAAACAAACACACACAACCAGACTATGATTGCCCAACTAGACTGGTTTACAAGAATAAGACTTGGGTCTGGAGAGACAGCTCAGCAGTTAAGAGCACTGGCTGCTCTTGCAAGGACCCGGGTTCAAATTCCAACACCCACATGGTGGCTAACAACTGTCTGTAATTCCAGTTCCAGAGGATCCAATGCCCTCTCCTGGCCTCCTTGGGCACTATCTACTCAGGTACACTTACATACATGCAGGCAAAACATTTATACACCTAAAACAAAAATAAATCAATAAAAAAGAAGAAGACCTCTAAATGATCAAGTTATCATTTAACTTAAAATATTGTCACACTAAAATGATTATATAGGCAATTCTCCTACATCAGAAAATTCAGGAGGAGGGCCTGGAGAGATGGCTCAGTGGTTAAGAACACTGGCTGCTCTGGCAGAGAGAAACTGGGCTCGATTCTCAGCACTCACATGGTGACTAACAACCATTCATAACTCCAGTTCCAGGGGATCTGATGCCCTCTCTGAACTCCATGGGTATTGCATGACACCAGTGCACTTACATATATGCAGGCAATGCACTCATACACATAAAATAAAAATAACAAATAAAATAGCTTTTAAAAAAGAAAAGAAAATTCGGGAAGAGACAAATGAAAATAAAAAATAAAAACTGTCCATAGGGATAGTACCCCCAAATGAAACACCAGAAACAGAATCTGAGCTTCTACCAAACAGATGTTAAATGGTTCTTACCATTCCAATAGGCAAAGTTGGTCCCACCTATAAACATGTACCTAGAGGGGAATAAGAAAACACAGAGCTTCACTGTGAGCCCACTGCCACGGGGATCCCTCTCCCAGGTTCAGGGTACGCACATGTTCACATTTGCCCCCCGGGCAAGGACATCATAGAGGGAAGCGGCCAATACTTCAGTCTTGACTGTGGAGTGAGGCTGGCCCCAGTGGTCTAACCAGCCAGTATAGAATTCAGAATTGATCTAAAAAGAGAAGAGGAGGAGGTGCTTAGGAGAGGCTTAGACCTTCAAGTGCTGAGGTGTACCCTAGAGTTGGGGGGCCCCGGAGGACATCCACTAACAGCAATTTTTTTTTTTTCTGAGACAGGTTCTCTCTGTAGCCCCAGCTGGCCTGGAACTTGCTGTATAGTACAGGCTGGCCAGTGGGCACGATCTCACAGGCTGGCCTCTGCCTCCCAAGAGCTGAGATTAAAAAACAAGCACTGCCATTCGTGGTCAAAAAGCAGTTCTTATACTGAGTCTCTGAGTGTCAACCACACATGCGAGTCCATCTTATACAATAGAGTTTGGTCAGTCCTCCATAACCGACATAGATTCAACCCACTGAGTATCAAAATTATCTGAAAACGGGGGAGACTGTAGCTCAGTTTGTACAGTGCTTGTCCAGTATGCAAAAATCCCTGGAATCCATTTCCAGGGCTGGATAAACAGGATGAGGTCATCTTTGGCTACACAGTGAGCTGAAGGCCTGCTCACTGTTTTATGAGAAAAAACTGCATCAGTATTGTACATGAACAGACTTTCCCCCCTTGTCATATCCCTGATATAGAAACACAACTATTCACATTGCATTTATGCTGCATTAGGTGCAAGTACCCTAGAGAGCAGTTGCGTATGGAGGATGAGCAGTTTAAGCCTACAGGAGGATGTGCAATGCAGGTCTACAGGAGGATGTGTGTGGGTCATATGCAAATACTGTAGTACCATTTTATGTAAGCGACTTGAGTAGTTACTGATTTCAGTTATAGAGGGAGTCTCAGAATCAATCCTCCTCCATGGATACTGCAGGACAACTAGATTCCAAAAAGGTTTGTACCTACATCAGTTTTGCAAACCAAGTTCCCAGGAGAAACATTTAGATGGGCAAAATAATTTCATAAAAGAATAGCTCTAGACAGGCATGGTGGCACACACTTATAATCCTAGAACTTGGAAAGGCTGAAGCAGGAGGATCATGAGTTTGAAGTCAGCCTGGGCTACATAGTAAGTCTGAGGCCAGTCAGGGGCTACATAAAACTGTATTGAAAACAAAAAGAGCTCAAAATCCAAGGGCTGGGGATGTATCGCAGTGGTAGAGAGCTTGCTTAGCATGATTTGTATTCGATCCCCTAGACCATAAAGAGAAGAATCAGCTCCAAATTCATCCTTTTCACACAATTCACCTCTTGTGCACATGCAGATCTTGAGACTAGAGTCGTGAGGCCAACCAGTCCATAAGCAATTTAACAACAGTTGTTCAAAATCAAGTAAGAAAGGAAACCTGGACTGTCAGGTTCCAAGAAATAGCTCCACCCTAGCTCACGAATACAAGCACTGCAGAGCTGCTAAGCAGGCCTTGGACAGAGAAAGGGCTGTTTGTAAACAAGGCTTGGCCTGAGACTCAGAGAAAAGGACTCAGAGAAAAGGCCTCAGAGAAAAGAGCTGTTTGGTAAATGAGGCTTGAGTTCAGGTGCTAAGTTAACACCAGCTGGGGAGGGCAGAGGGGGTAAAGGACTGGTGCAGGCCATCTCTGCCTGCCTGGCCCCTGCCTCCCTTGTAGCCCAGCAGTCTCAAGCTCACTAAAGCTGCACAGCAAATTGCACCCTCTTTCCTCCTGGTTGCTTGTTGGAAATACAGTCTCAGCTCCCAGCAGACCCAGCCAATTGAATTTTGCATTTCAATTACATCCTCAACATGAGGTGGAACCGCTCTGCTCCAAAGAGTTAAGAAAAGCACATGTATGCTGGTCATGGTGGCCAGCCTTTAATTCCAGCACTCCAGAGGCAGAGGTAGGCAGATCACCATGAGTTTAATGCCAGCCTGGTCTACATAGCAAGTTCTGGGGTCAGCCAGAGCCACACAGTGAGAACCTGGATCAAGAAAAAGAAGAGAAAGAAACACACACGTGAATCCAGATTCTGGTAGGCCGCATCCACTCCCAGGATTGGCAACCCAGGGCAGGTGACGCATGGCGTCCCATCCCCTGTTCCCCTGTCCCACCACCCCCCTCGCTCTACATTCAATAAGAGACAATGTGGGAAAGACTGGGGATGTAGTCCAATTAGTAGAACGCTTGCCTACCAGGCACCAAACTGTTTTTGATCCCCAGCACTACACAAAACTGGGTGTGGAGATGCAAGTTTACAATCCCAGCATTTGGGAAGTGAAGACAGGAAGATCCAGGAGGATCATAAGTTTAAGGTCAGGGCTAGAGAAATGCACAGTATACTGCTCTTCCAGAGGACTCAAGTTCCTTCAGTTCCCAGCACCCACATTATGCAGCTCACAACTGCCCTAATTCCAGCTCCGGGGTGATCTAACTCCTCTGACCTCTGTGGGCAGCTGTACATGCCCCTCAACAAACACACATATACACATAATTAAAAATAATAAAAGTAAATCCTTTTTTAAAAAAAGTTTAAGCTGGGTGTGGTGGTGCATGCCTTTAATCTCAACACTCTGGAGGCAGAGGTAGGTGGATCTCTGTGAATTCCAGGCCAGCAGAGGCTACAGGGAGACCCTGTCAAAAGAAAAGACATGAAACAAAAGGAGGAGAAGAGGGGAGGAGAGAAGAAAAAGAAAAGGAAAAGAAAATGAGATAACAGGTCCACTTATTTGTTTTGATTCATTTACTTGTATTTCAGGTGTATGAGTGTTTTGCCTGGATGCATGTAAGTGTACCCATGTGGTGCAATGCCTGAGGAGGTCAGAAGAGGGTGTTGGAGTCCCTGGAACTGGAGTTAGGGGTGGTTGTTAGCCACTACGTAGGTGCTGGGGACCCAGGTCCTCTATGGGAACAGCCAGTGCTCTTAACTGCTGAGCCATCTCTCCAGTGCCCATCAGAAGCACTTATGAGGAGTGCCTAGGCCAGTCATGTTTGTCTGTATTCTGTTCTACTCCAGTGCAGGACTTCAGTTTCAAACTGAACCTTGTTCCTGCTGTCACACGTAAGTCTAGAAGGGCTATCTTCCCCATCCCACCAGCCACTGGTCTCAGAGCCAAAACAACTAAGGGCACAGCTCCCTTCTGTGGCCCATCACCTCTCCTCCCAATAGCTGTGATAGAGCTGTACAAGCCCACAGTCTCCATACCACACCACCCAGTCCTCACCAAAGGTCCTTTGGGCTCGAACTTCCTCTGGATTAGAAAAGACTGTGTGATATTGCTGACTGGAAGTGAAAAGAGGGAGAAGGAAAGTCAGTTACTGGAACAATAAGTCAGTTACTGGAACAAACAGCCAGGTGTGGTGGCCCAGCCTGTAATCCCAGCACTTAGGGTGCTGAGGCAGGAGGATCACCAAGTTCAAGACAAGCCTCAGCTACATAGCAGGATGCTATTTCAAAAAAGTGTCAAGGGCTGATCAGTCTGGGTGGATGTAGCTGAATCTACGGTAGAGTGTTTGCCTAGAATGCACAGAACCCTAGGATCAATGCCCAGCATCCCATAAACTGAGCATGGTGATGCATGTCTGTAAACTCAGTTCTTGGCAGGTAGAGGCAAGAGGATCAAAAGTTCAAGGTCATCCTCAGCTACAAAGCAAGTTTGAGGTCAACCTGAGCTACGTGAAACCCTGACTCAAAAAATATAAATAAATATAAATAAATAAATAATAAATAAATAGGTGGCTGGAGATGTAGCTCAGTGGTGAAAAACACTTGCCTAGCATGTTCAAGGCTCTGGTTCCATTTCCAGGTGTGTAAGCCCCTCCCACAAAGCTAAACAATGAAGTCCCCCTGGGGCTTGAGCCAGCCAGAGGCTCTATTAGACAGCTAGTATACCCCGCCCCCAATTCCCCTCCAGGAACTCACAGGTTGGACAGTACTCCCCAATATAGCAGTATAAGAGCTGGAAGTCTCAGAAGTGAAGGCTTAGGGGGCTCTACTGTCATGAATGAATACAATTTAACGTCTTACAAAAGAGGCTACAGGGAGTTCCTCACACCCTTCTACTAAGTAAGGAAGGACTCAAGAAACTAATATATCTGAAGCAGAGAACAGGCCTTCACTCAACACTGAATCTGTGGGAACTTCAGTCCTAGACTTCCCAGCACCCAGAGTAGTGAGCGATACATTTCTGTAGTTTGTTTATATTAGTTTTTCCTGAGACAGGGTCTTACTGTGTAGCTCAGTCTGGCCTGGAATTTATCATGTTGCCCACATGGCCTCAAACTCACCATCCCCCTGCCTCAGCCTTTAGAGTGTTGGGATTATAGGTGTGACTCACCACATCTAGCTCATTTTTGTTGTTTATAAATTACCCAGCCTAAAGTATTTGGTTATAATAGCTCAAACTGGGCTGAGGATGTAGCTTGGTTGGTAGTATGCTTGCCCAGCATGCACAAGGCTTTAGGTTTGATCCCCAGCACCCCACAAACTGGGCTGGGTGATGTACTCTTGTATAATCCCACCAGCCAGGAGAGATGGAAGAAAGAGACTCACAAGTTCAAGGTCATTTGCAGCTACATAGGGAATTGAGGCCAGTCTGAGTCAGAGACCTATCAATAATTTTTGTAAGTATTTAAGGATCACAGGTAGATGAAAGACATTTGATCCTGTGTTTCCTTAATAAATTGTAAAATGACTTGGAAAAGTAGGCTATCCTGTGCGCAGTGCTATTTACAGTTTTCTTGTTTAACACAGGTTTAAGCTTTGTGGTGACAGTAAATACCTATTGTTTCCTAATCCAAAAGACCCCATGAAACACCTACAAACTGGTTCTAGGATGGATCCAAACCATCCGTATGAGGGCTGTGGGGACCACACAACACTGCTTTCTCTCTCAGCAGATCTCCAAGGCCTTCTCCCAACCGCAAGGCTGCAGACTCACAGGCCGACCCTCTTCCTGTGCTTCTCCAGGGCCACAGCACATGCTCGCTTTTCTCTTGCCAGCTAGCTGACCCCAGTGCTCCCTACAGGACAGATCGGCTCTGGAGTGGCTTCCTTGCACCCCCCCCCCACCCACAGCAGAAGTGTACACAACAGAGTCACAAATATTTACGAGGTGCAAGAAGACAGGGTGCTTGCTCTAAGAGTGTCAGTCTCTGGAGAAAGGAGCCCACTCTGAATTTTGATTTCTCAGTCACACAAAACCACTTGTTCTCAACTTCCTTTCTCTCCTTCTTCCTCCTTCTCTCTCTCTCTCTCTCTCTCTCTCTCTCTGTCTCTCTCTCTCTCTCTCCCTCCCTCCTTCTCCCTCTCATTTTGTGTATCCTTTGAAACAGGGATTCAGTATGCAACCATGGCTGACCTAGAACTTATTATGTAGCCCAGGCTAGCCTCAAATTCATAGCAATCCTCCTGCTTCTCTGCCTCCACAGAGCTAGGATTACAGGTATGTACCACCATGCCCTGCAATGTTGTATTTTATTTATTTTGAATATGAGTGTTTGCCTGTGTGTGTGTAAGTGTATCATGTGCGTGCAATGCCTGTGGAGGCCAGAAGAGGGCATCAGATCCCCTGTGACTGGAGTTATAGACAGTTGTTAGTCACCAAGTACATGCTAGGTCAGACCCAGGTCCTCTGCAACAGCAGTCAGTGTTATTAACCACTGAGCCAGCCCTATTTTTTTTTTTAAGTCAAGGTCTCATGAAGCCCAGGCTGCCCTTGAACTTTCTATACAATTGAGACTAGTCTTGTACTCTCTTTTTCTCTTTTTGGTTTATTTACTTTTATTTTATGTATATGAATGTCTTCTACAAATATATGTAAGTGCACATGTGCATGCAATGCGTGTGGAAGTCAGAAGAGGGTGTCAGATGCCTTGGAACAGGAGTTATGGATGGTTGTTAGCCACCATGTGGATGCTGGGAACTGAACCTGGGTCCTCTACAAGAGCAATCAGTGGTGCTTTTACATACATGTGGGGAAAACATTCATACACATAAAATAAACATAAATAAATGTAAAAAATAATAAAGATAAAAAAGAGGTGGGGCTTAGTAGGTTTTAGGTCATTGGGGACACATCTCTGAAAAGGATTATGGGAGCCCAGTCTCTTGCTCGTTTTCTTTAGATTCCAGGTCATATGCCTTGCTGCAGGCCCCAATGGAGCAAGGCAAACCAACTATGAGTAGAGACCTCTGGAAATGTGGGATGGAATAAACCTTTCTTCTTTATAAGTTGTTTATCTAGGGTATTTTGTTATAATAACAGGAAACTGACTAGGGCATTTGATAACATCTCATTCAATCTACTCATGCCACTTAAACAACAGCTGTGCCCATAGTGACTGAGTTAAACAACAATAACAATTTTAAGCTGCATTTTCTAGTAGTTACAAACACTGACCTGGTCCGAAGTCCACTGTGGCATAGAGGCCCTGCAGGGTGCCGCAGCGCAGGTATTTTTCATCTGCCCCATCGGTGGTGAAGAGAAGCACATCTTTGCCCAGATGGTAGTGGAAGCGCTGTTCCAGGAAGCGCAGGTAGTTGTAGTCACAGGCAAAATAGGAGCCGTATTCATTTTCAACCTGCGGATGTAAGAAGAGGAGGGAGACATCAACAAACCCGATGCAGCCATTCTGAGGAAGCTGCTGTTTGCAGGAACTATTTGAGCATCTGCCAGGGTTTGGGGCTTCCCACCTGTCAGAAAGTCTCTGCAGAGACAGCAACACTCAATTCTTATGTTGGGTATGGTGGCCCCCGTGCCTGTAATTTCAGCACTCAGGACCCAAAGGAGGAGACTAAGAGTCTGGGCTACTGAGACCCTGTCTCAAAAAAACAAAAACAGGGCTGGAGAGATGGCTCAGTGGTTAAGGGCACTGGCTGCTCTTGCAGAGGACCCGGGATTGATTCCCAGCACTCACATGGTGACTAACAACCATCAGTAACTCCAGTTGCAGAGGATCTGATGCCTTCTTCTGGCCTCCACGGGCATTGCACACACAGTGCACATACATCTATGCAGGCAAAACACTCATACACATAAACAAATTTAAGTTAAAAAAGCAATTCAGAGCTGGGCATGGTGGCAATGCCTTTAATCTTAGCACTCAGGAGGCAGAGGCAGGCAGATCTCTGTGAGTTCAAGGCCAGTGTGGTCTACATAGTGAGTTCCAGGACAGCTGGGGCTACAGAGAGACCCTGCCTCAAAAAGACCCCCCCTCAAAAAAAAAAGCAATTTAGCACAGAGGCTTACTTTCTAACTCTCCTGCACTGCCTAAATCTAAGGAGAAAAAACAGAAACAAAAAAGTGGAACTACCAAATTGGGTTTTGGATTGCAGTGACAATCTTCCCAATTATAGGTAACAGATACTGGTCAGAGATGGGGCATCACATGGATAAGTAGAAAAAGAAAGTAGAAAAGAAAAGTAGAAAAAGAAAATGGGAGACGCGTGTGCTGTTCCATTGCCCACAGACAAACCCTGTAAGCATTTTGGCATTTAGCCTTCTAGATGTACATAGATATATAAAATATACAGTATCTTTTTAAAGAAAGATTTATTTTATTCTTATTTGCATATGTGTGCACTCACATGAATGCAGGTGCCCGAAGGCCAGAAGAGGGCATCGGATTCCCCTGGAGCTGGAGTTACGGGCAGTTGTGATGTGGGTGCTGGGAACTGAACTCAGGTCCTCTGCATGAGCTGTAAGTGCTCCTAGCTGCTGAGCCATCTCTCTAGTCCCACATTAGCTACTTTTATGCAGTTGTGACAAAATACCTGATAGCTGTTACTTGAAGGAGGAAGGATTTATTTTGGTTCATGGTTTCAGTCCAAGATGGTCAGAGTGGCCCAACCCCTGTCAGCAGGAGCATGAGGCACCTGGTCACCCAGGTACAGAGAGTGGGACTGGCCACAGTGCCAGGCTATAATCTTCAAAGGCTCAACTCCAGTGCCACATTTCCATCAGCCAGGCCTCACCTCAAAGAAGTTCTAAAACATCACCACCAGCTGGGGACCAAGAACCCAAAACATAAGCCTGATTCTCGAGTCAAAATGAAACAGTTTTGTTCTAAACCAGATACTCCTTTGGCATCCCATCAGGGGTATCTGACAATCTGGAAACATTTGGGTTGTCAGGACAGGGGAAGGGAGTAGTACTAGTGGCCTACAGTGAGTAGGAACTCAGGATGTCACAAACATCCCAAAGTGCACAGACTAGTCCATGACACAGATCTATCAGGTGCAAAGAGGTGACTGAGTTGGAGCAGTCATCAGTAAAGTAGAAGGCACCCCAGGGGTGAAAACTGATTTGTATGGGGTAAAAGAAAACCTATTGTCTTGGGCTGGTGAGATGGCTCAGCAGGTAAGGGTGCTTGCCACAAGTCCGATGACCTACATTCAATCTCGGGACTCACAGGGTAAGGAAGGAGAGAAATGACTCCTGCAAGTTGTCCTCTGACCACTCCACATGCACACTGTGATATGTGTACATGTGTACACATGTACACACACACACAAATATATAAATGGTTAGAAAAAACAAAACAAAACACCGGGTGTGGAGTGTACACCTTCAATCCCAGCACTTAGGTGGTAGGGACAGGAGGACTCCTGTGAGTTCTAGGTCAGCCTGTTCTACATAGCAAGTTCCAGGACTGCTGGGGCTACATAGTAAGACCCTGTCTCAAAAAGAGAAAAAGAAAAAGAAAGGAAGAAAAGAAAGAAGCTAGAGATGGCTCAGTGGTTAAGAGCACTGGCTACTCTTTCCGAGGACCCACATGGTGGCTCACAACTGTCAGTAACTCCAGTTCCAGGGGATCCGATGCCCTCTTCTGGTCTCTGCAGGCATTACACACGTGATGCACTTGCATGCAGGAAAAAGTCATAAAAATTAAAAGAATTTTAGAAATACAAAGTTGAATGAAAGAAACACTGATAGTGTAAAATCCATATAATACAATCCCCTATAGAAAATGCAAAAATAGTCAACACCAGACTAAAACGTATGAGTGCACATAGGTGATGGACTATATAGAAAGATGAGAAAACAACAACCATCAGTGCCAGGCTAGGGCCCATGAGATGGCTCAGTGGGTAAAGGCACTTGCTTCCAAGTCTGACAATCTGAGTTCAAATCCCAGGACCCACAGGGAGGAAGGAGTGAATCAATTCCCACAATTGTCCACCGGCCTTCACCTGCACTGTGGCACATGTCTCCCCAGTAAATTAAAAAAACATGTAACTTAAAAAAAAATAAGCTAGGGCAGGTGTTTCCAACCTGGGATGGTGTGTACACGGGTGTTCCTGCTACTGTGGATGTTCCCACTACAGGCTCCACATGCTGAACGTTTATGGATATATGCCATGTTTCATAATTTCACAAAAGTTTTTTAAAAGCATCCAACCATGGGGCTGGAGAGATGGCTCAGCGGTTAAGAACACTGGTTATTCTTGCAGAAGACCCAGGTTCGAATCCCAGCACCCACATGGCAGCTAACAACTGTCCATAACTCCAGTTCCAGAGGATCCGATGGCCTCTTCTGTCTTCCGCAGGCATCGCAACACAGGTGCTCTTACCTACATGCATATACATAAAATTAAAAAAAAAAAAGCATCCAACTTATATTTAACCAGAAAGTTTCAACCTACACATAAACATAAAATAAATTTTTGTGATCTTGGGAAAACAGAGATTATTTTTTATTTTTTTGAGACAGGGTCTCACTGTGTACCTCTGACTGGCCTAAAACTCACTATGTAGACCAGGCTGGCCTCAATCTCACAGAGATCGACCTGTCTCTGCCTCCCTAGTGCTGGGATTAAAGGCATGCACCATCACATCCAGCCCTAAAAATGCAGGATTTTTTTGTTTTGTTTTTTGAGAAAGGATTTCCCTGTAGCCACAACTGACCTGGCACTCGCAATGTAGGCTGGCCTCAATCTCTCAGAGATCCACCTACACCTGCCTCTTGAGTGCTGGGATTAAAGGTGTGTGCCCCCACATCTGGCTTTCCTGAAAATACAGTTTTCAAACATAAGCATGAGGGACTGTGGGTCCCCATACAGGTGTCCAGCTGGAGAGTGACTAAAGAGAGACTTATGCTGGGTGTGGTAGCACGTGCCTGTAGTCCCAGCACTTGGGAGGCAGAGGCAGGTGGATCTCTGTGAGTTCCAGGCCAGCCTGGTCTACATAGTGATGGGGGGGGGGGGGGGGGGGCTACAGGGAGACCCTGTCTCAAAAAGACAGACAGAGAGAGAGAGAAAGAAAGTTAAGGAAGCTTGTCTGGAAGGGCCTCCTCAGATGACTGTGGAAGGAAAGGCACCTAGGAAGAGAATGAAGAGACTCAAAACCACCCGCCAGCATCACAGGACAGAAAAGAGGGGCTGAAAGGCAGCTCAGTCATACAGCGCTTGCATAGCAAGCACGAGGACCTGAATTAGATCCCAAGATTCTATGAGAAAAAGCCAGGCACGGTAATGCGTGCTTATAACCCCATTCCCAGCGCTGGGGAGGCAGAGACAGGCGGATCCCTGTGGCTCTCTCTGGCTAGTCAGCCAGCCTGTCTGTCCAACTCCAGACCAGAGAGAGATCTTATCTCTAAAATCAAGGTGGTGTCATCGAGATGGCTCAGTGGGTGAAGGTGCTTACTGACAAGTTCGACGACATGAGTTCAATTCCTAGGACCCACATGATGAAATGGAAGGTGAGAAATAACTCTCCAAAGCTGTCCTCTGACCTATACACAATGTGGCACACATGACACACATTCGGTAAAAACCAAGGTGGCTAGTACCTGAGGAACAGCCGTCATAGCTGACCTCTGGCCTCCACAGGCATATGTACACACATGCACCTATATGCACACATGTGCACCCACACACAGAAGAACAACAGAGAAGGAGGAGCTAAAAGTCAGCATTACAGTTTGACTTAAAGTGACCCCAAAGGCCCTCCACTGTCATTATCATCTGCACAGTGCTGGCGCCCAAAGGGCTTTTCCCAAGAGGATCCCTCTGGCATATTTTCATTGTAAGGGCTCAAGAAGCTCAATGCTTCAGCGAGCATGCCCAGCTCTATGGTCTTTGATGGCCGTGAATCCATACAGGAAGAGGAGTCAGCAGTTCACAGGGTAGAAACTTCCTGCCTTCCTTTTTTTCTGTTCTTTTTTTGCATGTATATGTGTGTTTGGTGTGCATGCATGTTCATATGAGTGTGGATGCGTACATGTATGCAAGTGCACACACACATGTATGGGTGTGTGTGAAAGCCAGAGGTGGATATTGAGTGTCTTCCTTGATTGTTCTCCACTTTATTTACTGAGGTACAGTGTCTCATTTAAACTTAGAGCTCACAGATTTGGATAGTCTAGCTAGGCAGCTAGGCCCTGGATGCCCTTTCTCCTCCAAGTGCTGAGATTACAGGTTGACTGCCTACCACACCCATCCGGCATTTACATGGGTGCTGGGGATCCAAACTCTGGTCCTCAGACTTGAGTAGCAAGTGCTTTATCCCCTGAGCCGTCTCCAGCCCTCTCTGACAATCTGATCTGATAATTCCCATGAATGCTCCTTTTCAAATCATTAC